CAGAGGTCACTGGTTTGATTCCTGGTCCGGGCACATGCCCAGGTTGTGGACTCAGTCCCTGGTCGGGGACATGCAGGAGGCAGCCGATTGATGATGTTTCTCTCTCACTCATCACAATGTTTCCATCTCTCTCCCTCTCCCTTCCTCTCTCTCTAAAAATCCATAAAAACATTTTTTTTTTTAAAAAAAAAAAGACAATTCTAATTGCCACTGCTAATCATCTGAGTATCACCGAAATAACTTTCTAAGCCCAGGGTCAAGATGCTCCTACCCAGGGTGTCAAATCAGCAAACGAAAACTTTGGTACCTATCCTGGCCCCGCAAACACTCCACTTGCCCAGAAACACGGTATGTCCAGTCGGCCAAGCCAACTCTGGACCTTCCCACCCCACGGCTGACTGCTGGGCCCCGGCCAACCGAATACTTTCCATTTTCCTCTCTCCTGTTCCTTACTCTAGCCTACAAAAGCTTCTGCCTTCTGCCCCACTGTGCAGTTTTCAGATGAAGACTGTCCAGTTCATCAAGTGTTAAATAAGCTTTGTATAATGTAAGTTGTCCTCTTTAATGATTCTTAATGTAACAGTATTAACAGGAATGATAAAAGAAGAGAAAATGGGAGTCAGGAAAAAAGAAAAGGAGTTCTTCACAGTTCCCTCTAACCTCCCTTCAGGTGTACTTTCTCAGACCCTCACTTTCCTGGCCTGAGGGCTTTCCTGACCCCCTGAGCTGTATTTCACTAACCAGGCCAGGCTCACTTCTCACCCAGCCCCCCAAAAAGCTGCTCCACGTGGCCCATATTCCCCAGAGCTCTGGCTTCTTGCTGAGGTTGAACGATCTGGAGAGAGTAAGGAGAGTGCTGGAGACCAGAGTATCTGTTTTTTTTATTCCTCTGGCTCCTTCCCAGCAAGATGACTGAATCAACTGTGTCTCCCTAGATGGCTGACTCTCCCCCCCACGGGTTCCAGCTACTGATCCCTTGTTCCTGTGGCCTAGGCATGGTAATGACCTGTGTGCTACTGATCCCCCTTGCTCCACCCCTCTTTGAGTTTTCTTCTGAATCCCTGAAAACTCAACTTTGAAAACAGCCATTTGGAAAAACAAAACAAAACGAAAATAAACCTGTTCAAACTGTCCTTTCTTCAGTGTCCCTGGCTTCCTGTTGAGACTTCCAATCAATACACACTTTTATTCATGCAGTGCCCTCAGGTTAAAATCTCCTGCTTCCGGCTACCTCTCTGGTCAACTTCTAAACATGTTACCACGCGTTCTTAAATGTCACTGCCCTCTGTTATTTCCCGTTGCCACTGCAGAATAAATAAACCGTTCTCTCATGTTTTACTCTTTATTTTTAAAACAAGTACACCCCCTACATATATATTACAATTTAGTACGAGCATCACACATCAAGGATAGCACACACTCAATAATTGTGTCAAATTTCTATGAAGCAACTTGAGAAATTTTTGTGTGTTTTTTAAATATGTGTTATTTAAGGTGTATTTTTTTTTTAATGAAAAAGAAACACCCTTACGTAAGTTAGTTTGGCCATGCATCTTGAAGAAAAAGCATTAAATGCATGAATAATATATGCCTTGTTATCCTTCAGAAACGTGGTCTTCTATCCTTTCCCTATATCTCTAAAGCCTTCAATGTTTAATTTACCTTATAATATTATTTTATTTTAAAAATATTTTCTGTTTGGTAAACTCACTTTAAAACATAAAAACGAGCCCTGGCAGGTATGGCTCAGTCAATTGGCACATTGTCATGCACACCAAAGGGTCGTGGGTTTGATTGCCAGCCAGGGCACATACCCAGGTTGCAGGTTTGATCCCAGTTGGGGCATACATGGGAAGTGATCGAATGATGTTTCTCTCTCACACTGATGTTTCTCTCTCTCTCCCTCCCTCTCTCTAAAAAAATCAATAAAAACATACTTGGGTAAAGATTAAGAAAAAATTTAAATTAAAAAGAACAGAAAAAAGAGATATTTAGATGACCATATAAGCAGTTAGGTATCATCTTTCAAAGTGTTCAACTGAAAAGACCAGGTGTTTTAAAGAGAAAACAAAGCTATTATTTCAATGACGTTAACAGTTCTTTTTGGTTAATGGTTACCAGATAATTCATAAGAGAAACATCCTCAAGTGAGTTATAAAGGTCAATCCCTTGTGGACTGAAATAAATTGTCAAGTTCAATTTAAAACACGATTTTTAATTACCAAGATAGTCTACCTAGAGACAACTTCAGATTGAAAGGCCAAAAACCTCATGTTAGTGGATTTTTTATAGATAATTTAACCCCTACCCCAAACAAAATAAGATGCATCATTTCCCATAAATGAAAAATATCACCATATTAACATTATAATAGCATCTAAATGTTTCATCAACATTTGAAACATCTAAACACTGCAAATAATATTTTGGGCCTAAATTTCCTGTTAATTATCTTCACTGAAATTTTTAGAGCATAATAATGAAGACAGATTACACAACAGTTCATTTCATACTTGTTTAACATTTATTTGCCATTAAACATAGATTTTTAAAGCCAAGAGAAAATTTAAAAACCACATTTATTTATTATCAGATTACTTCATTTCATATAGTGAAATAAATTTCTGAAAGAAAGCATAGTACCTGTGTAGCATACTATAGAAAGCACGTTAGTCCTTTGGGGGTGCTGTAACAAAATACCACAAACTGGGTGCTTCTGAACACAAAAATGGATTTCTCACAATTCTAGGGGGTGGAAGTCTGAGATTGGGTGCCAGCATGGTTGGGTGAAGACCTCTTCTGGGTCACAGACTTTTATTGTATCTTCACATGGTGGCAGGAGTTACAGATCTCTCTGAGCCTCTTTTGCAAAGCACTAAAAACCCATTGATAATGGCTCCATCCTCAAGGCCTGATCACCTCCCAAAGCCCCAGCTTCTCTCTAGTACCATCACATCAGGCATGGGGG